AGAGAGAGAGAGAGCGAAAGCAAGAGAGGGAGACAGAGAGAGCAAGAGCAAGAGAGCAAGAGAGACAGAGAGCAAGAGAGAGAGAAAGGCCCCATAGGAGGGAGTTTTTATAGCCCAAATCTAATGGGGTCTCTGGGTCTGCAAGCTGCCTTCTTGGTGTACAATGATTGGATCACATAGTAGTTGCTAAGGGTGTCATCTTCTGCCTTCAGGCAGATGGGGCAGGGGTCAGATGTGGGTTTCTGTTACCAGACTGGTGTTCGGCCTTGAGTGGGGTTGAGTGTTCAGACTTGACGCAAACAGGTGATAAAGCACCAGACAGAGTGGGGTTTGAGTGCGAGGGTTATCCTGCAGCTAACAAGCTTAACATATCAAAAGTTTATTTTGTGGTGGAATGAGATGAACATCATTACCCTAGGTACATGTATGACTGCACATATGGTGTGACCCTATATTGTGTACAACCATAGAAATGTAAAGTTGTGCTGCAATTGTGCATAATGAATAAAAATGCATTCTGCTGTCATATATACCTAATTAAAATAAATTAATTAATTTAAAAAGTTTATTTCATATGCAAATAAAATTTGATGTGAATTGGCAGGTGTTTCTCTGCTGTCAGATGACCTAGGGATCTAGGTTACTTCCAACATATGGCTCCACATCTAAACATGGATTTTACATGGTCATTACTGGATGGAACAGAAAGCATGAAGATGGCAGACAGGCTCTCAAGTGCCTTGATCTAAAGTAAAAAATCACAATTCTGCTCACATTTTTTCAAGGTTAGTGACATGTCCTTTCCTAACCACAAATAAACTGGCAATATAGTCTCCATATAAACCAAGAATAGAAAGCAAGACACAAAGTACATGAGAAATTGTAGTCTCTTCAATTAACTGTTACTTTGTAGGCACCCAATAAAAAGCTACTATTATAATTTGTTATGATGATAGCCTTCTTTGTTCTTGGAAGGTTTTTCTGAAAATATAAAATATCATTGCTATTCAGAAGCACTTTCTTGTGCCTATCTATGACAAGTGTTTTCAAATCTAGGATCACACCATTTTTCAAAATGATTCAATAAATCTCTGCAAGAAGGGTTCACCCTTTTCTATTCAGTAGCATCTTTCCATACTAACCTTTACACTAACCTCTATAATCTCTAAAGACTGAGAAATTTATTATTTTGTTTTGTCTTTGGTCAAAAATCATAACTTGTGAGTCTCTGCTATCACCACCCCCCACCTGATGAACATACCTAAACACTTGTACAGGTGCCCTTAAGCGCAATGAAAAAGCCAGAATTTTCCCTTGGGGTAGATATAGACAAAAGTCAGGAGAATGATGGTGAATTATTTTTTATTTTCTTATCAAAGCTGGAATTTCTTCCAGGGAGACATTTTCTACCTCTGTGGTAGACTGAATATTCCACAAAGATTTCCATACTCTTATCCCTGAAAGGCATGTTATGTTACATGGCCAAAGGCACTTTGCAAATATAATTAAAATTATGGAATGGACCTTAAAAATAGGTTATACTGGATAGTCTGCACAGACCATTCTAATTGCATAAGCCCTTAGAAGCACAGAAATTTCTGACTAAGGCAGAAGAGAGATGCAGCAGAGGGGAATGTTACATTCCAAGCATGAGATAGGTTTAATGTGCCATTTCTCATTCAAAAAGTAGGAAGCCACATTCAAGACTTCAGAGAGGCCTCAAGGAACTATGGCAGCTCCAGCTGATAGTTAGCAAGGAAACTCATTTCTCACTCAAAACTACCAAGAACTAGATTCCTCATAGGACCAGATTCTGAGAACAACCTGAACAAAGCTGGAATAAGATTCTCCCCAGTGTTTCCAAATAAGAAGCCAAGCTTTGAAATTTCTATTTGGACTTAGGTAACTAGGAAAATAAACCAGAAGCAGCAGCAGCACACACTTCTCACCTACAGAAGTGTGAGATAATAAATGTGTGTTGCTTAAGTCCCATAATGTATGGTAGTTTGTTACATCAGCATAAAAAAACAGGGCTGGGGTTGTGGCTCAGCGGTTGAGCACTTGCTTAGCATGTGTGAGGCCCTGGGTTCAATCCTCAGCACCACATAAAAATAAATGAAATAAAGGTATTGTGTCCAACTACAACTAAAAATTAAATATTTAAAAAAATATTATGTTCTCTTGGAAGGACCCTAGGATTTTAAAGAATCTAGCTTCTAGGGCTGGGGTTGTAGCTCAGTGATAGAGTACTTGCCTAACACGTGTGAGGCACTGGGTTCAAACCTCAATACCACATAAAATTAAATTAAATTAAATTAAATTCTTCAATAACAACAACAACAAACGAATCCAGCTTCTAGACATGTGGTTAAAGAGTGATTTCTTGGGTCTTTATTTATTAAGCCACCACTAAAGAGGGAGTTTTCAATTTTATTTTTTGCCATTTAGTTAAGCTCACTCATCAGTGTATTTATTCAGTGCCAGTCTCAAATAAATCATTAAATTATGTTCTTCATTCTTTTTAATCTCACCTGCTTCCTAAAAACTTTCTAACTTGAGTTATCTTTCAAGAATCAGTAGATTTTGTGCCAAATTTGACTCAACTTACAAGGCAATTGGAGGAAATAAAAGAGAAACCATTGGTGAAAATACCCAAAACAGATATAAGCAGAACTATACATCACTGCCAAAGTAAAGAATTATGTGGAAGGGGCTATTTTATCAGGGGTATTCTACAGTGAGTGAAATGAAGGACAAGGGCACATTTGTAGGGAGTCAGGGTTCTCTAAGTCAGGGTAAAGGAAGGACATTCAGAGCTTTCTTTCCCACATGGTGATCTCAGATACAACCTCTGTTGGAGGAAGCAGGGAAGAGCTGGACAGCAGGTCATGATGCAGATTTGGCCTTGAGGGCCCACTGGTGCTGACTCAGGGGAAGAGCGTTATAAATCTGGAATGCTGGGCCTGGTCCCATGTGACAGCTCTTGGGCAAAGTCAATACTCCTGGGGTCAGGGACAGGTGGCTATCAGGCAAGTGAGGCCCATAAGCAATCCCCAGATAATATGTAATTCTCATTTTCTCCTTTATTTATTACAACTGGGATTGGTATATCAACCCTAGGTTCCTTCTTTTCACTGTCCAGAAACATTATGTAGTAGTGAGAAGGAAAATTAATGAAGACATAACATTTGCCTCATGTAGGAAAGTGCTCACTATGTGGCTTAAACAAATTGAGACCAGGGTTCTGACACATAGGAGCCATGAAGTCAGGTACACTGCAAAGTTCTATAAGGCTCAAGCTTTTTGTGAAGTGAGCTTGATAAGCACTGCCTTTTAGGACTCTTGGGATATATGTAATGTCTGAAAGTCTCTGGCACAGTGCCTGGAATTTATTGCCTCTTTAATAATTGACAGCCAGTACTATTAATTTGACACAGACCCTATCAAAATCTGCTCTGTGATTTTTGTAAAACAAGAGATGTCAGAGAGTATGCAGCACTCTGGTAATAGCACACAACTCATCGAAAATAATGTATAGCAAGTAAAACTGAGTTATTTACTATACAACTTTTTTGGGGGATGCAGGAATACTGGGGATTAAACCTGGGTTAATTTACCACTGAGCTACATTCTGAGCCCTTTTTCTTGGGACAGGGTCTCACAAAGTTGCGTAGGGCCTTGCTAAAGTTGTTGAAATTGCAGGAGTGCACCGCCACACCTGGCATTATATAACTTTTTAGGGACATGTTATTTATTGTGGGTGTGACAGATTCTTCTCCAGCTGGATGCAACTTAATGATTTCAGGATTACTTTCAAGGACTTACTCCTTCCTTCCCTTCTGTCTTTTCATCCAAACCACACTTTTTTCATTTAGTTCACAACCATTCAAAATCTATCCCTCATTTAGGAGTTTGCAAATTATACTCAAGACAACCTAAAAAGATGTGCTTTTAATTGACTGGTATCCTTTCCAGGCCACAGCAAATATTTCCAGCAGGGTGGCTTCCAAGGACATTCCTATCAGGTGACCCTTATTTCTCAGAAACTTCCTAGACCTGATCTGCATAAAACACATAATTTGTGCAATGTGCTCTACTATAATGTAAAAAGGATACTGGGACAGGAGGCAGAGCCCCTTTCATTAGGAAGAAATCTGTTTTATCTGTGACTCCAAAGTAATTTCTAAAAGCAGTTTCTATTTCAGGCATTAGTCTTTTAACTATTGACACTTCATTTTGAGGATCAGGCCCCTGCTTACCACTCCCATAGCCTCATCTGATCCACTCCCCAGCTAGTTACAACTTGATTCATACTGAAGGACTGACAGTTTCTTAAAGCCCCCCACCCACTTGTCTGAGGGCATTTGAACCTGACTACTCTCATCTGTATTCTCCTGACTTCTTTTAACTTGCTATCTTCTTAAAATGACAGCTGTTCCTAGATTCTAAAATTTAGTGGGCAAGGGTGGATCTTGTTTATCCTGATATTCCAAATATTAGCATAGAGGCTTCTATAAGCAGATGCCCAGGTAATGTTTAAGAAATAAATGAGGACAGCTGTGTGCAAAAGAATTTATTATGATATAGTTTCTACTATATTCTTGAAGAAGCTAAACAAATCCAAGCATATATCTCTTAATTTTATAGGACAGGCCAAAAGTGATAACAAAATACAGCAATTTATCATCTTTTACTTTTTTTTCCTTTAGTTATTTCAGTCTATTTAGCTGCTGAGTTCTTTCATATTTCCAAGGAAATGCATAATCCACGTTCTTCTGTTATCTTGTTTCAAATCACTAAATAAATGGAAAGTCTCTCAATTTATTCTGTAAAATATTAAGACTCTTGCAGCTTATAAGCATCAATAAATGCATAAATCATGCCATTCATAAGCTTGGATTCTGAAATTATGTAAACCTTCTATTAAACAGAACAATAGTTAAACAAATAACTAAGTTACCATATAGAACAAGGATACACGTTATACACTGTGTTGTCACCAGCTTCACCCTACCTTTTCACTGAAGAGAAGATTAGCTTTCCTGTTCAAAATCATAATGCATTTTTCTTAGCCTTCACTTGGGACAAGAAAAGCTGCTGGATGTGATCTTGGGACGAGAATTGGCTATGGCAGCATTATGGGCCTTAGCTGTAAGTTTGGCTTGGGCTCTTTCTTCCTCATCTTTCAAAGCCTCCTCATACCAGCCTGGGAAGGCATTAGGAATGGTATTATGGATCTTAGCCAAAAACTCTAGGACTTTCATCTTGCTGGTTTCAGCATGGGATCTTGGGCCCCACAGGAATTCATAGCGTGGAGGATCACTGTTGGCCACCTGCCGATACTCCAGGTACTTTTCCTTCACTAAATCTCTGGTTATCAGCTTCCTGGGATCCCCAAAGATGAAGTGCCTCTTCCCATCATACACCCCCATCATATTTAGTACTGCCCAGACTTGCTCCTCACTGGCACAGTTACCCTTTGTGAAGATCACACCCAGGATAGTCATCAGCAGGCCGGTCTTGGGTATACCTCTGTTATCATTCACTTTTGCATTGTGGTCTAGTTCCAGCTTGTTGATGAGTACATAGATATTCTTGTTTGGATCCACTTCCTTCATGTCAAGGCCAAAGACCAGCTCCAGGTGCTCAGAGGCTTGCTTCAGAATCTCAGAGTAGCGATTCTTGCACATTTGGATTACATTTCTCAGCATATCTGCCTTTGTAATGGGCTCTTTCATTCGATACTTATACAGCAGGTAATGAACCAATACTGTAACCTTCTGGTCTACAACGTTTTTGTGCCAGTGCTCAATGATAGCCTGTGAGACATTTGGCTTTCCCTCAACCCGGTACTTGGTGTCTCCATTAGCTGTTTTATGTGAAACAGCTGTAGCAGCAGTCACCACAGTAGATGGGGCTTGCCCAGGTTCTTTTTGATTGCTGATTGCTCCAGGAGTAGATGAACTCTTGGGGGTATCTTTGAAATGAGAACATGAGGAAGAGTGAGTCTCTTCTTTGGCTGCAGTCGCTTGAACATTACCCTTATTCTTGGGTTCTTCTTGAGCCTGGCGGCGTCTCTCCCGGGCACGGAGCTTACTCTTCTGACCCCGAGGCATGATGACTGGCCACAAAAAGTAAGCAGGAGTGTCAGAAAAAGGACAGGTGATTCAATGTCCTGGAGAAAAGAGAGAGAGATTATGTAATCACCTTCTGCAAGGAGATACCAACCACCTTCCTACTTTTCCTGGAGGGCACTGCTCAAAGAATTCATGAAGTTCCTTCTCCCCATGAGGCTTCCCACAAGGCACTGTGAAAATAGCTAGTGTGTTTAGGCTGCAGCCCTCCAGTCCCACCTGTATCCCATTGGGGCTGACACAATGTCTGACAGTTGCAGATCCTGTGAAGCCTCTTTTATTTTGGGGTAGGGAATATTTTCCTCAATTCACATTCAGGACCATTACTTTGGTTTCTGGAAGGACCTGTGATCTCTGTGCTTAACCATACTGACTGACTCCCTCATTACAAAGCTTTCATCTCCCTGTGTGAGAAAATGAGAGAATCTCATATGACTTTATCTGCTGGGGACAACCTGGAAAGGTTGCAATGGAAGAACTCTGTAAGATCCTTTCTATCCTGGGGTAATAATACCCATCAATCTTCCCTCAGGGTCCTCATCTTTGCCTCTTCTGGTATCTTATTGCTCTTCCTCTACTGACCTGAGACCTAGACCCTCACACAAGGCCTTCACATCGCTCAGATTACTGAGGAACAAATTAGGGAGGCTTCATAGTAACATATCTTCTCCAGAAATGCCTTTCAGGAATCACAACCCTGCTAGAGTTTTCTGAAACCCCCTATTTTCTCAGTATGAATTCACCATTTCTCACCAGAACTCCTCACCTTGGCTGCTTAATACATTTCCCTCTGCAAACTTGAGGTTAATACCAATCAGACCAAGGCCCTCACTCACATGATATTCCTAAGTATGTTGTGTATATGTAGAGTCAAGGCACTCAGAATGACAGATATACTTAAGGCTTCCCAAAGTTATCAAAAAAGGCAGGGTGTTCCTCCCTCACTCTTCACTTTGACTTTCAGAAGGGCCTGGGTGGCTACCCTCTAATGACTTGTCACTGCCCTGTCAGGCCAAGGATTTCATCCTCCTGTGACCACTAAGAATAAAGTAAGGAATACTTTAACCTGACAGTACTGCTGATGAGCTCACAGCAGTAGGAACAAATTAGGTGCTCTGTGGGGCTTCCTTTGTTCTGGGAGAGAAAGTCTCCCTGGTCCTTGCTCAAGTTTCTGAATGTAACTCTTCATTACCCTGGAGAATCCTCCCTCTGCTGAATTTAGCCTTACACCAAGGTTCTTAAGTACTCTGTGCCCACCAGAAAATTAAACTGAGGCCTGGAGGGGTGGTGCATGCCTATAATCCCAGCAGCTTGGGATGCTGAGGCAGGAGGATTGCCGAGTTCAAAGAAAGCCTCAACAACTTAGCGAGGCCCTAAGCAACTCAGCCAGACCCTGTCTTTAAATAAAATATTAAAAAAGGCTGGGGCTATGGCTTAGTCGTTGAGCGTCCCTGGGTTCAATTCCTGGCGCGCGCACACACACACAAAGTTAAACTGGGGGCGTCAACTGTTTTTTTTTTTTTTTTTTTTTTTTTACAGCAAGCCATTGGTTTCAGAGGGCTCAAGTCAGGGGCGTGGCTCTGTAATACTTCTGTGGGGTAAGGGAGAGGGGAGCGGGGAAAGAGGAGAGGGATGGAGGGGTAGGATGAGGGAAGCGGGTAAGGATGAGGGAGGGCAGAAGGATGGGGGGGAGAATGAGGGAGGGCAGAAGGATGAGGGAGGGGGGAAAAGGTGTGGGGGAGAGAGGAGAGGGGTGTCCAGGGGGAAGGATGAGGAGGGGAAGGGGAGGGGAGAGAGGAGCGAGGGGAGAAGGGGGAGGGGGAAGGAAAGGGTCGGGATTACAGGCATGCACCATGTGGACAAACCTCAGTTTACTTTTGGGGCGGGAGGAGGAGGAAGGGCAGTTTTCCACCAAAGTCACGTGGAGGCATTTCACTGATTAATGGCAGAGCTTGGGCTCCTTTCTCTACTTGTCTGGGATAAACACTCTAGTCTAATACCTTCAATGACTTGGAGTAGTTAGAGGTGGCAGTGGGGCACAGTTCTTCCAACCACCTCTGCTTGAAATCTCCCAGGGTTGACAGCAGGGCTCATACTTTGTCAGAGGATTCCACTATTATGGGGGAGGGGTAGTTTTAGAGAATTCACATAAAGCCTTTGTTGGTTCTAGGCAGATGTCTACAGGCCAACACCCAGGTCTAATTTTCACTTCAAACGCTTGAGCCTCTATAAATGGAATTCGGAAGGTAGTATACCAGGCAGTCCCCAACCAGGGTCCTCTGAGGCTGATGGCAGAGGCGGGCTGGGAGGGCTTTCTGTTTTCGAATGTAAGGGGTCCCTTCAAACCTTATTTAACATCTTTACCTTGTGGAAAGACCTGGGTTCCTCCTGCTGCTAAGCTGACGCCATTTCTTTTACAATAAAGTTTCATCTCCTAGATTTCAGTGGCGGAAGTCAGTGGGGGGAACATATCCGGCCCCTCGCCCTTGCGTAGGAAATTTTCAGGGCTTCCTGCACTGTGGTACAATATGGGGGTGACTCTTTGGCGCCCTCTCTGTTTCGGAGTGCCTGGTAACATAAGAAAATAGAGCCACATTTTGTTTACTAGCTCATAGATTAAAGGCTCTGTGAGGAGAAAGAAAAACAAAAATTCCCAGCAAGCTCTGGACACTTTTCCAGCTTAAGCCTTTACCCATCACGGGTTTGCACCGCAGATGAGAGTTGAAATGGAGAGGATGCAGCGCAAGGTAGGCAGCCCGGGAAAAGTTCTGAACTGTAAGAGAACATGCAGAGTGATCCTGGGGTTCTCCACCAGCCAAATTCAGTCTTTGGCGACTTTCTTTGAAATCTCCCAGGGTTGACAGCAGGGGTCATACTTTGTCAGAGGATTCCACTATTATGGGGGAGGGGTAGTTTTAGCGAACTCACATAGAGCTCTTGTTGGTTCTAGGCATATGATAGGACCCTTCCCTCAGTTGGCTACAGGCCCACACCCAGGTCTAATTTTCACTTCAAACGTTTGAGCCTCTATAAATGGAATTCGGAATTTCAAGACATATTCTCTTGAAATTATGCAAATATGCATGTTTGCATAATTTCAAGAGACTCAGATCTTTTATATTTTTATTTTTTAAAATGTAATTCCATTTATTTATTTATACCGGGGATTGAACCCAGGAGTGCTTAGCCACTGAGCTACATCCCCAGCCTGCCCCCACCCCTTCTTATTTTTTTATTTATATGTGGTACTGAGGAGCAAACCCAGGGGCTCACACATGCAAGGCAAGTGCTCCACCACTGAGCCACAACCCCAGTCCCCTCAGCCCTTTTTATTTTTATTTTGAGATAGAGTCTCACTAAATTGCTTAGGGCTTCCCTAAATCCCTTAGGCTGCCTTTGAACTCAAAATCCTCCTGCCTCAGCCTCCAGAGCTACTGAGATTGCAGGCATGTGCCACCACACCCTGGGAGACCCAGATCTTTTGGCCTTATCTAACATTGCATTGAACTGTGCAGTGAAATTCATTTTAGATTTGATCCTCATTTGTGGTATCAAATATATTACATGTATGTTCTAATATTACTGCTTTGTGCAGCAAGACTTTTGACTTTACTATAGTCAAAGTTTGTATAGATCTATACACCATCTTTCAGAAGTTAACTTATTTATTTGAATAACCCATGGCCTTGTCCTTGGGTCTTTGAAAATGACAATTTTTTTTTTTTTTTTAGAGAGAGAGAAAGAGAGAGAAGAGAATTTTTAAATATTTATTTTTCTGTTTTCAGTGGACACAACATCTTTTTACTTTTATTTTCTGTGTTGCTGAGGATCTAACCCAGTGCCCCGCGCATGCCAGGTGAGCGCATTACCGCTTGAGGCACATCCCCAGCCCGACAATCATGTTTTTAACAATGAAGTTCTGTTTCTTTTTTAATATTCCTAACATTTATTTAATTTTGTATCTTATTATCTCTGGCTATATTTCCTGGTGATATACTGCTATGTCTTGCTCCTTATGTTAACAGGAATGCTCCTAACAGTTCGTATTTTACACTTAAGTTTGAATACTGTAGAATTTGGCAAACGAAACTTCCTTTTTAATGTTAGTTTGTTAAATGTTATTAAATGCATTTGTGGTTTTTTTTCCCCCCAAAGTCTTTTTTGAACCTTAGGACATGATTAAATGCCTTAAACAAAACAAAACCTAATCTGTTAATGTGGTGATATTTTAGACCATTTTTTATTCTAATAATATTTTTACATTCCTTGGACACAGACTGTATTCACAGCTGTACTGTAAGGATTTATTTAGAATCTTGGCCTCTGCGTGGATGATGTTGGCTCAAGTGTTCTTTTTGCAGTGTGTCCTCAGATGGTGGTTTTCTTACCAAAGAGAGCTAGCCTAGGAAAATGAGTTGAAAAATTTCTGATGGTTTTGTGTTCTTTAGATGTGTTTATGTGAGATGGTGGTTACTTATTTGCTTATTATTTGGTAAAATTGCCCCCCAACTACCTAATGTTGAAATATTTAAGAATGGCTGGAACTTTGTTCACATTTAAACTTTGTATTGCTTAATTACATTTTTCTATTTCTGTTTAGACAAGTTAGTCTATTCAAATATTTTTAAATAATAGGCTCCTTTCATTTGGGGTTTCAAATTTAATGGCTTTATATATTTCTTATATTACAGAAATTCTCAAACATATTCAAATGTAGAGAGAATATATTAACACTCAGAATCAGCAGTCATCAACACATGAGCTGATCTGGTTACATTTATATTCATACTTGCCATCATCTCTACATAATGTGAAACAAATTATATATATCATGCTATTTAATTTTTAAATATTGCAATATCTAGTTCTAAAAGATGAAAGCATGACAAGGTATACTATCTTAAAAAGTAACTCCTTAATATAATCAAATGTCTGGCTATTTTTCACATTTACCTAACTGACTTACATAATTTAAAAATGATTTTTCCTTGAACCTGAGTCCAAAAAGATCTATTTTTGTCCCTGTTTT